CCCAGGGGTGTCCAACCTTTTTGTTTCTCTGGGCCACATTGGAAGAAGTCATGGAGTTTTGGGCCACAAGTATATTTTGACCCAATCCTTAAATATACAAATATATTTAAGTATTAACATGTCTAGATTATAGTAATAAGTATTAAAAGTTTACCACAAAAAAGAATATTTTTAAAAATTACTTTTACAGACACTTTCAATTTTTACTTAGAAATAGATAAATTCATTTATTATAAAGGAGACAAACAAAAATTTATTTGAAAAACACAAATATTTGTTTTATTTGTGTGTCTAATTAATAAAAAACGACGAAACACCATTTTAAAGTGCATTTTTATTCAACTAATATATTTATAAATAATATGTAGCCCAAAAAGTAGCCAATGTGCCAACTGATATTTTTTACATCAAACTAATAAAAGAGTAGCCAAATTTGGTGCAAAATAGCTGAATCTTGCAACGCTGGAAGGAATACTAAATAAAGCTGGAGTTGAGGCTCAAAGGATTATAGACCCAAATGCGGAGAAAGGAGAAAGAGGACAAAAGATAAAGAAGTGAGGAAGGTTGGAAAATTAAGGGTCCTTATTGCATAACAGGAGGTCTATTTAACCTTTCTCATTACTTTTTATCTTTAGGTCTTTTTCTTCTTTCCCCAAATTTGAGTCTATTATACTCCTTTGAGAGCCAACTCCAGCTTTATTTAGTATATCTTCCTCATTCACACATTTCTAAGTATTTGAAAATATTTCTTTTCCACTCAAAAATAAAATATGTATAAAGGTTTACGGCTTTGTGAAACTTCTTNTCCAGCTTTATTTAGTATATCTTCCTCATTCACACATTTCTAAGTATTTGAAAATATTTCTTTTCCACTCAAAAATAAAATATGTATAAAGGTTTACGGCTTTGTGAAACTTCTTTTTTGAGTTTATGCCATTTAAATAAATAAATAAATAATTTAAAAAATTGTCGATTTTGTGTACACGTTTATTGGGCTTCATTCGAACTTCCCTTGGGCCACGGGTTGGACACCCCTGATCTAACCTGATCTTAAAAATAACACCTTTCTGTCAAAATGGATATTAATCTATGTCATTTATAGGAAGTTTCTGAAATTTGATATGTTGATTCTTATGTTTTTGGATCAAATTACAAAAAATAAACACAAAAAAAGCACATTTTGGCATTCTGCAAGTATTCTGCAAGCAACATTGTTAGAAAGAAGACAGAATACAGAAATTAAGCATATCATTGTATTTGAAGCTTTAGAAGACTTACATAAAAAAAAATATAATTTTTTTCAAGTCTGTTATTTTTATCCTTTTCACAGCCCAAGTCAGAAGTAATAGCAAACTGGCTTGAAGATACGAGGGCTATTTTTTAAATAAGGTCTGTTTTTTAATAAGAAGAAAAATACTGTAAATATCATCAAAATATATTTTTTTCCCATATTCTACATACTTTTATCTATTTTTCTACATAATTTCCATTTTTGTTCAAACATTTGTCATACCTCTTAAAGATTTTTAAATTTCAACTTTGAAGAAATCTGCCACCTGCCACTGGAAGACATTAGGCCATGCCGCTTGTCTTGTATAAAGGTCACAATAAGCATCAGAATTGATTGTTGTGCCTCTTGGCATAAAATCCACTAACAAAGAGCCTTTCCTGTCCCAAAAGACAGTTACCATGATCTTTCGTGCTGAAATCGAATAGCAGATCATATCTTACAGTCGGTGGGCGACTCAATTTTCTTAAACATTATAAACTTCTACACTTCAGCACACAGACAGACGATATGACTGCAAATGGCATCAAAACACACTCAAAGCATGCTGAAAGCAGATGCTCATGCACACTGCTGCAATCACACGCCATTCTCACTCTCATTCACAAACAGACCTTATTTAAAAAATAGCCCTTGTATAACTAAATCTTCCATAAAACAACAATTATAGATTATTAAAACATTTACACAAAGTTAAAAATGATCAAAACACCGACCTTTTATTTTAGGATTTGGTGCTTTCACAATAAAACAATGATAAAAATTTTTCACAATATCTACTCTGTCTTGTAGCCATAGCATTTTAATAGTCCTTTTGGGTAATCACAAAAATTTTGCTAAAGACGACATAACCCAGGATTATCTTTATTTGAAGCGTAGAAGACTTACATAAAAAAAAATTATATTCTTTTATTTAAGTCTTCTAAAGCTTCAAATGAAGATAATCATGAATTAAGTCATATTTATGCAAATAATGTATGATTTTTATGCATATAATTGTAGTTTTTGATGTAATGCTGACAGTATCACAGTTTTAGAATAAAAAGACATTCATTTTTTTCAGGCACCCTCTAGAGAGGGATATATAATCTCATTTAAACTGGCACTCTGGGTTTTACCATACAGAAATGTCTGATTACAGTAACTATTGTGTCCATCTATCTATTTTTTCTATTTCAATCTCCACACTAATTTACTTTTTATGGGTTATATTTCATACAATAATAATTTCAATGTCAATGATTGGATGTCATAGAAATTCAGTGGAAACTGATTTTTTTAAAATTATTGATTAAAACATTTTTATATTTGAAAGACAAGAAAAGCATAATATATCTGAATAAGCAATGTAATAAGGCACTACTGTATATAAACTTCTCTTTGTACAAAAGTCATATTGAAAGATAAACTTTTACTTTATTGATAGCTAGTTTTAAAATTATTAGAAAACAAATATATTTCTGAGAGAAATTTTTTCTTTTTGTTGTATAAAATATTCCAGTAATTGTCATCTACAATTAAAATATAATCTGTACTTTAAGTGAAATGTAAATGTAATTAAAACTAATTTGTAAATGTTTTATCTTATCAACATGTACAGTTGATCAACTTATTCTCAACTTTAATATTTTGCCAGCTGACTGATATGTTAAAATCTGATTAAAAAATAAAAGTTCCAATGGATATTTTTTTGAATAATTCTTATACTGTGTTTTTAATTTACTTTTCTAACAGTACAACTGAACAGTTTTAATGTTTAACAGGCTTATTTTAAAAATTTTAATTTCTAAATGGCAATAACTGGCATAATGTTATTTACCAGTACAATTATCTTAAACATACAATAAGTTTTTACCCCAAATGATAATCAAACTCTAATTTTATTATTATTTTTTATGCTATTGTAAAATTATAAAATGTAGAGTAGAGAGAGACTATGTTTTTATTAATAAATTATAAAATTTTTCAAAAAGAATTTGAGTGGTGTAAAGAAAATCTATTTCTCTGCTTATTTAATACATATATTCTGATATAAATATAACTTTATAACATTTTATTAGGAAAATCTTGTAAAAGAAAAATTGCTACCCTTTGAGAGTATGGAAGAAGATTCAAATAAAGAAGAACAGAGGTCACTTGAAAAAATTAGTTTAAAATGTCGAAGCGTGAGAATTGGTTCATTCAAAGTACAACCTATGTCTAGCATTACTTCAATGGAAGTATGTGTTAATTCTCAAGATTTAGAATTTCATGTTCCAACTGTAATAAATTGTAAGTCCTATTATGTTTTAGTGTTAAATTTTAGATGATTTGTGTTTATTTTAATTTAATATTAATAGATGTTAAAATATATCACATTAAATAAATACAGTATATTTAGTTTTTTAATATCTAATATTTTTAATATAAAGAAGATTGTCTAAAACAATAAATTTTTAACTTCAAAAACGGCTGTTGAATCTGATTAATTTTAATTGTTGTGTGTTGAACTTACTATTATTCTTTTTGAAATTCTGTATTTTAATCTGTGTTAAAAAATACAGTTAATTCAAATATAAATTTCAATAATTCATAAATTGTATATCTCATATTTCATAGTGAAACTAAAAAAGAAAATTAGCATGTAGTCAACTGTTTTATGAAAATGTGTACATTTTGTGGTTTCTTGAAATGCACATTTTGTAAACCTCAGAAGTTTGAGCAAAATTGTTATGTTTCAGATTTAGTGGCATTTGAATCTAGATGATAGAGTTGTTTTTCATGATATCAAAAAAAATCTTGGAGTAATTAAAAAATAGAGAAGAAAGAAAAAGTGATATTGCCAAGATATACTGCCAAACTTTTAGAAAACTAATTATTTTACCCACCTCATTGTATACCTCATGCCTAGGATGCAGCCATTGCATTACAGGCATGAGTTTATAATTGCAATTTAAAATTGACATATCATTTATTCTATTACATAATCATCACTCTCTTTAAGTTGTCTTTTTCAGAGATGTCAAAGAATGGACTACTTCACTCATTCTAAGCATATATTCCTGGTTTAAAGCAGAGCAAGATATTTATGCCTCTTGACAAACTAAAGATTTCTTATCTTTCAGTAGTAATCATGTTCACTTTTTGGTCAGTGTTCTGACTGGTTTTGATCACTTTCATAAATATCTATGCCAAATGAAACTTTGCTTTTCAGCTTTTTGCCACTTTTATGATTCTGCTAAGGAAACTCCTCTTCTTCTCACTTGTGAGTGTGCGGATCTTTGCTCAGGAAATTCCTCTTTTTTGAAATTTGGTGATATCCCTCAGTTTTCCTTCCGAGGTCTTCTGTCTTTTTTTTAGAGATTATACTTGTCAAGTAATCTCTTTTAGGGTGCACAATGGCCTTTTAGGTTAAAGTGTGTTTGACTCACACTCATTTATGAATTTATATTTATTGTACAGGTTGAAGCTTTCCAGCTTCAACCTGTACAATAAATATAAATTCATAAATGAGTATGAGTGGTTATGAGTTATAAATGTATTTTTACTAAAGTTAATGCATGTTAGAGTATAAAAGGTGTTATATTAGGAGGTAATTAAGAAAATAATATGAATATTCAAAATTTTCTTTAAAATTTCATCATAATTTATTATACAATTTTATAATTGATTTTTAGCTAATGAATTAGTAAAAGTGATTCTCTCAACTGAAGATATCATTAAAGTTCTTGGTCATTTTGGTCAATCATTACCTGTATTATATATTTATACTACACCTTCTTGTGGTTCTGTCATCAGAAACGATCTGAAGATGAATGTACAGACAGGTCCATTTTATGATCCTGGTGGTGAAGGTTTGTAAATATTCTTAACTTTATATTTTGCTATACTTTCTTATAGAAATAAATGAGAATAAAAAGTATATATATACTTTTTATTTTAGTTTTATTATATATATCTATAAAATTTATTATATATATATATATACAGGGTGTATCAGGAAAGATGTCACAACTTTAACGAGTGATAGAATACGGCAAAAGTAACAATTGTCATAATACAATGCTTAGTGGAATGTGAATGCAGAAACACAGTATGAAGAACACGGAAAATGAAAAGTTGTTTTAACCTTGGATATTTACAAGAATTGTTCAAATGAATGACTGCCAACTGCAATATACACATCACAACTGCTACAGTGATGTATATATTGGCATACACTTTGGAAGATACCTGGCATGTCATGTACAGTACTTCTGTAGTAGCAATGATAATTCTGGCAACAAGGTCTTTAGGAGAGTCAATGGACATTTTGAAATGCACATCCACCTTCTCAGCATTCAAGTACTGTTGCATCTCTGCAGCCATACAACTTCCAAATGATGATACAAAATAGGGTTCTTCTCACCAGCAAGCACCCTCTTGTGTCAAACCGTTTGGTTTTTGACAATACACTGTATTACAACAATTGTTACTTTTGCTATGTTCNAATTCGAACAAAACATTCGAAATAGAAAGCCACTTTCAACCACTTTCAGCCTCATATCTCCCGCACCCTTATAGCTATCGAGACGCAACCACCCCTATGCACAAATGGAGACTTGGGGCTACCACCACATACAAACACCATTCACGTGCGATGTGTAGTTTTTGCGGAAAAGTGAAATATAGGGACACACACGTCCATTTTTATATATATATATATAGATATACGTATTATACTCTGTAACACTACTAAACTAGAGCCTTATACCTCATTCGCCTTGGGGTGACCTCTCTCGACCGTTTCAATCTCAACTGAAACGAGGTTCAATCACGATCAACTTGAGAGAGTTCTTGAACTAGATCCAGTCATAAGAGAGATGTCACAATCCCACGCACGCGAGAAAATACAAGATGGCTGCAGAACACGTGTCGGGCTATCGACAGCAAAATAAAAAAGATATTGTATTTCGAAAGACGATGGCATCTGTCTATTATTAGATATATCGCAAGAAAAAGTATTGTATTTATTTCTAACCAAAACTTCCATTTTGTTTGTCGGTGTTCATGACTTACCGCCTAGTTATTTCAGTTTTATCGTCGTGTGTAACATCTGGGTTCTTCTCAAGTTGACTGCCTGTGCACAGTCAACTTGAGAAAAAAATTATTAAGGAAAAATTTTCTGTTAACAAACCCTTTGTTAAATATTTTGAATATCATCACTGAGTACACCTAGATGATGGGAAATCACATAGCAATGCATGGTCGGAAATGCTTTCCTGGAACTTGTTGCACGCATCATGGCAGCTGCTGGGGAAGTCCTGGACACGCCCAGTATTTTCGACCATGCGCCAGAGATGTGAGGCCTGCATCATGGCCCGGGGTTGTAATTTTGAACACCTTATTTGATTTTTGCTGTACTAAGAATAATAAACATGTTTTCTCACCCTGTTCGTGTCCTTCCTTTCTTGTGTTTTGTGTCATCACTACTGTGCCAGGAAAGTGTTTCTGACCATGCATTGTTGTGATTTCCCATTGTCTAGGTGTACTCTATCTCTCCTAAAAAATTGTAATCACTGTACTGATACACCCTGTATATATGTATCCTTAAAAAGAGTTTTGTTTTCAATAATAAAACTAATACGTTAATTTATATAATTTGCATATTTTATGTAAATTTTATCCCATTTATGCCCACTGGCATTGCTAGACTTATTAATAATTATTGATAATAATAATTTTACTTAAATAGTTATTATTTTCATGTTTAGTGACACAAAGTATTATATAACTTGTAATAGTGTATAGTATAGTAAACAGTAATCTATACAGTAATAGAGGGCAAACTGCTTAAGAAAATATTTATAAACTTTCAGCTATAAATGAAAATTTTTTTACTTTATTTTTATTATTATTTTTTTAACATAATTTTTAAAAAACTTTTCTTTTTTTTGAAAGTTTCAAAAAAAAAGTTTTTTTTTAAATTAATCAAGATTAGTTTCAAAAGAATCAAAATATAATATATTAATTAATATTTGGTCAATTGTTAGAATAGAATTAATAATTAATCAAATGTTCTAATTGAAACAAAATTATTACAGATGAAACCCAGAAAAGAATAACAATTCTACCTGAATTTATCACTAGTTATCAAAAGGTATTCTTTCGTCAAGTGTTTCCAGGAAGACTTTTGCAAGAAATTGATCAAAAAAATGCTAATGAGATTCTTGTTAGATCAACTCCACATAATGTAAGTTATGTTCTGAATATTTAATTCTTAAAAAATTATATTTTTTAATAAGTTTTTTTAAGAAATATGAAAAATATAAGTTAATTTTTTAAGAAGAAGGAAATTTTACAAGAGATAACTTTCAAGTGATTTAGTTCTTTTTAGATGTACAGTACATTATCTTTGCTAGGGATAAGATATATATTTGCTATTTATCAGGATTCAGGTTACTGATATTTTCATTTAAAATGCTATAAAAACTACAGTATATACTAGCAATTGCATTTTTCTGTATTATGGATGCTTACAAACCCCATTTATATGTTTCTCAGTTGTATGTTTTTCACAAAATATTTAAATATTTTCTGTATGGTATATTCTTCATTATAAATCACTTAAGCTGTACATTCTTCATTTATACAATTTTATACTTATATACTGTGTTTTTTGGTATCCTCCAGCTTTTATTTTCTTACTTATGCATTATTTGCTTCAAATGGAAAAATTTTAAGTGAAAAAGCAAATTATGTATTCATTTTAGGTGATCACAATGATAGTGAATCACCAGCAAATGCAAAAAACAGTGACTAACTAATAAGTAATATGATGCCATTTATGACATATTTTCTCATTTAGCAAATCACTCTGCTAGTCCAGCACAATGAAAATTTTCACTTTCTGCATTCTATAGTGTGATCCAATTTTGATAAGTGAATAAAAATCACTTTCTAGTTTCTAATTTATTTTCACTATTCACTGTCAGAATGACTCTTCATTCTTTTATGTGACTGGAGTTTTAATGGAAGGATACAACTGTGTGACAAGTCCATTGGAAAAAAAAAACAAGAAACAAGCAAAATTTGATCAATTTTTAAAAGTACATGACTTAATTTACTGTTTTATTTTTTGTTGTTTTATATGTTCAAATATATTATACATGTAAATTGAAACTTTTTTATTCATACTTACACATACAGATTCAGTTGTACTGTACTGTGTTAATTTATGCCATGCTGTACTTTTGTGGTGACTATATTCATTCTAAAAGCAATTACAGTAGAGCATCAATTATCCAAATACCGATCTACCGAAACATCAGTTTACCAAAAGCGTTCTAGTCTGCAAATTCAAATTTCTGCTAGTGCAGCACTCCCCTTCTCTGCCAACCTAAACTGTAGGCCTAGTTTAATGTACTACATTATGTAATGTATGTATTTGTAAGACATGTGTTACAAAATATATGCAGTACAGTTTTGTGTTTAATATATTTTTTTGTAAATGATCAGTGATCCGAACAACCCCAATCCCAAATTGTTTTAAATAATCGATGCTCTACTGTAAAAGGTTGTTTCACTTGTATGTTTCTCAGTTTCCTTGAAAAACATACAAACAAGATTTGACTGTAAATAAGATATTAGTATTATTTTGGATGAAAATAATTTAATATAAAATGGTCAAGTATTTAAGTACTCTGATTTAAGTAATTTTCATTTTCAGATAAAAAATACACTTATTTTTAATAGGATTTTTTTAAAAATATTAATTATTACCTGTATTTTCTTGATTTAACCTATCTCATGTTGAAATTTTTCTCTGTTGCATGTTGTCACCATGTTGAATTTTTGTTGATGTTAAGCCTAATGAAAAATTTTTTAAAAATAATAATTGTGTCTACTGTATCATTAAAAATTATTTTTTTATTTTGAAAGTTCATTTTAATATAAAAATTATGATGCATAGCGACATCTGGTATCAAAAATGTGCTGATACTGTAACGAGATATATTGGGTTTAACCCTGCGGGTCAAAGGTCACGACCCCAATATATGTTGGGAATAATACAGGTGAGGTTAAGAATCACTGATTTTGATGTCAAATTTTAAGAATTTTTGTAGTGAGAGAATTTTTAAATAATCAATTTTATTAAGTTTTTTGAAACAACAGGTTAGATAAACAATACAATTGGTAACATTTGGCAGTTTTATTTCAAAGTTATTCTGCATAAACCATGAAACCTCAATCTATTGTTTTTGGTGGGACTTGGAGGCAAAAACAACTGATGTGGGAAAACAATTAACAGGGAAAATTTATGATGTCAATGTTTTTATTATTTATCTCATATGAAACATGTACTTTCCACTGATACACCTGTATGATGGCTTTCTGTAATACAGGCCTCGGAATGGATTACTATTCTCACTGTTTTTAAATTAAGTCACTTTTTCTCAATTTTTTTGGCGATATGTCACTTTTTCTGCTGTTATTGGCAATGACATTTTTATGATGCCAAGCTATAACATGTTACTTCAGTTATTAATGAAAATACAGTTGTCCCTCTATAGTCCGATGTTTTTTAATCCGACATGCTCAGTAGTCCGACGCACCTCACGTCAAGGTACCCATCCCCGTTATGTGTCTGCTTGCACAGAAGCATGTCGCGATGTGAATCTCCCCATCCAATTCTTACTCGATGACACACATTTCGTGTGTTTTATTTTAGCAGTTCTGTTCGAACGGTTGGAGTAGAGAATATTGTAAGTTACTGCTAGCAAAACAATGCGAAATATGTAATTATTTTCGGTAATCCGGACACTTTTGGTAATCTGGCACACCTTTGGTCCCATACCTGTCGGATTATCAAGGGACAACTGTAAATAAAAACAGTGTTTTACTTTCCCTGCTTGTTATGTATACATCATGAGAAAATATTGAAATTGTGTCAGATTTTATCCTCCAAGTTTTTTGCAAATTTCCACATTTTGAGACCTGAATCCAGAAATTGCAAAAAAGAAATCTGTGTATGTTGGTGCTTATTTCATGATTATTTTCATGGATGGGGGTAATGATTAAGAAACAAAATTTAGCATGGTATCTTATATATAAAGGACATTGATGCTATTAAGTTTTGGTGGTTATAGATTCTGAAGTGGGAAGATAGATAGGGATCATGTGTATGGACCATAACTCGAGTGGAGTGGGACGGCATGAAGATTTTACTCATTATTAGCATTTATAATTTTATATAAAACTCATCTCTACCATCAAAATTAAACTATTTACAGTTTTGTAATTACAGTGGTACCTCAGGTTACGAATGCCCCAGCATACGAAATTTTCAGGATACGACATGAAATTCGAACATATTTTTGCTCCACAATACGAACAAAAACTCACCATACGACGTTACATTAGTTCGCATTTTTCATTTGTTTTTCTTATTACAGTTATTTTTTTTAATGTATTACTTGGCTTTAATTTGAGTATGTTTTTCGCGTTGGAACGAATTATTTGGTTTTACATGTAATCATATGGGAAAAGATGATCCACCTTACGACATTTTCATAATACGATCTCAGTATCGGAACGGATTAATTTCGTATCCTGAGGTACCACTGTATTAATAATATAAAATTTGTTTTTTAACAAAATCTCTTAACAGATGGCACTGCAAACTAAATTTAAATATGTTCTATTATGTCATTGTATTTTCGCTGGGAAAGTTCTGCATTTTTCATTTAATGAAATGTTTTGTTTTAACTTAAGTTTTAGTAATTCTGCTCTTAATAAAATTTTAATAAATTAAAATTTTTAATTGGTAAAAAATTTTACTTTGCAAAATTTAAGAAGTTAACTCATTAGAAAGAACAATAACTTTACAAGCAATTTTTCTCAATTTTTTCTAAGTGAGATCTGCCATATATCTTCTAATAGATGCCTTACTGGCTGACCAACCAGGCACTTATTAGTTTTACAGTTATGTTCTTCAAAAATAAAAAACCCAAGTAAAGAACAGATCAAAATATGCAGATACAGCAAAGGATAATTAACAACCCCCTTTGCTAATTTAGGTCAACTGACTAGGATACAATGCACTTGAAAACTAAACCAAAAATTCCAGACTTTCTGTTTTGCCAGAGACTGGCATCTATTAGTCTTTGCTGTAAGGCTGCATTTAATAAAATGTGAGAAGAGAGAAAAATTACACTAAAATGAACTTTTTAGACCAGAATTTGCAATCAACGACACCGTTTATGAAGAAACGAGAAATGCACACAAACGTCTCCAACCAACAAGGCGCAAGTGCGCTTCTGGAGCTATCTATCTGTGCCTGTGGCAAGTTTTGAAATAATGAAAAAAATTAAATTTTAAAAATAAAGAAAATAAAAAGTTACCCAGTTTTAAAATCTTGCTAGATGTAGTGAGAAATTTGCTAAATTAGGCTACACTGACCATTGTTTAATTTATCACGCCTATTATAATTATGTCTCCATGGCATCTATATTGTATTAGTAATATGGTGTTAGTTGTCAATAGTATGAGTTTACAACAATAGCACCGCATGATGATGATGTAAACTTATAATGTTGTCATCACATGCTATCATTGTATTGTGTTTTTCTATATACAAACATTTTACTTCAAAATCAGTAATCCAACTAAAAAACAACGAACTTATCATTTTAACAAAGATTGGGAAGACAACTACTTTGTTATTGAAAGTAAGGAGAAATAAATGTATTTACTTAATATGTAACAGTTTTTTGTCAGTGGCAAAATACATGTCGAACGTCATTACAATCTCAGTTCTTATGACGTTAGTTATCCACCTAAGTCCGAGTTAAGAAAAAGAAAATTTAATAAACTAAAATTGGGATTATCTACTCAGCAAGTATTTTTTACCAGCCATGTAAATAAAAATAAAAATGCCACTATTGTTTCCTTTAAAATTTCTCATTTGTTGGCAAAATGAAAAAATCATTTTTAGAAAGTGAACTATTGATATTTAAAGAAGCATTTCTCGTTGGAGCTGATTCATTATTTGAAGGATTTTCTAATAAGTAAGAAATTATTTCAGCAATACAAGATCTGCCATTATCAAACAATACAAGTACAAGAAGAATCCAGGTGATTTCAACAGATTTACAAAGTCAGTTGAAAAATGATTTGGAAGAATGTAAGTATTTCTCATTACAAAATTAGATGAATCAACAGATATATCAGATACAGTGTAATTGGCAGTAA